CGTCTAAGTTTGATACACCGCAATCATTGTAGTGTTTTCTCGATGTTATTATGATAATTGATAATTTTTTAAATGAACAATTTATTATTATTAACCTAACATGTAACAAATCGCAATGATGAAGTTTTACTTGTTTTTATCATAATGATATTTACATACAATTATATGTCGGTAAATTAATTTTTTTAAAAATTTTTTCGAATTTTACAATTAATATTTTATGGGATTACAATATTTTTAGGAGTACGTCTTATTGGTATTCCGTAAGACATAATATCGAGTACCATCCGGCACATACCTCAACTAGCAAAGGGGTTCAGTAGGAATAGCACGGGAAGATAGTCGGCTAATGGCTAGTTTCTTATACGTACTTGGTTGGTATTACGACAATAGTACTTTGCTTAGTACTTTTTCATTTTTTTCAGTATGTGTTTATTTTGAAATTGATGTTGCTATAATTTTATGTGATTCGGGAGAATTTCTTTGTTGGAATATAACTCAATATTTTTGACTTTAATATTTATAAAAATTTATATGATTTTTTTAAAATTTTAAACTGTACCTACATTATTTCGTAAATCATAAATATATACGTATTTTAGCACCCATATTCATATGCGTTATTTATTTTATATTTTAATTTTAAAATTTGCATAACCTTTATATAGCGGTCACCTGGAAGGGGTATAGTCGAATTGCGCTTATTTTAGTCGAATTGCATTTGGGTTTAAAAAAGGTAATGATCGAATTGCACTCGGTTAAAAAGCAGGTAGTAGTCGAATTGCACTTGGACTCAAAAAAAGTATTTCAACCAAATTATCATACATTTGAAGGAGTTAAACATTTAGTAAACACTCATTTTCCTTCTCACTTACAGGCTTAGGACTGACAATGATTTTAATCATTGGCGTGGTTAAAAATGATTGTTTTATACATCACATTATGTTAATTATATATTTATACATTATAATTCTTATATTATATCATTATACATTATATTATATTACTTTATACATATTATTATTTTACATTTTTTTAAATTTTTTTTTTTTAAATCATCAAATTTAATTGTTGTCAATATTGTTGCGTCCGTTATGTCAACGTCGATACATATATCAACGTAGAAATAGAAATACTAATGTTTGCAAGTTAAAAGATTAAGTCTTTATTTAATACAATTAACTCGTACAAGAATACAATTTTATAAGCACAAGATGGTGTGAGTGGTGTTACGACCTGCCTCTGAAATAAGACGAGACCGTGAGTGGTGTTACGACCTGCCTCTGAGCGTCTCGAATATCCCTAACCGTCTGCTGAGCTCTTGCCCTGGTCTCCCTTATATATGGTTAACCGTCAAGAGTGGTGACTGAGGAGGTGGTGACTTCCGATGACCTAAAGGAGCTCTCTAAATTAAATGTATTATTCAGTTGGGTGCCTTTCCTGCGATTTCATCGGTTCTAAGAATTACAAGACGTGTGATCAAGTCTTGATTGTCATATTAAATAGTACAATGTTAACACTATCGTTTACTCATCATTTCCGAGAAGTCCAGGACGTGTGATCATGTCTTATTCATTATATTAAATATCACGATGTGCAGGTGATCGCCATAGCCGTTCGATACTACACTGTTTGAATATGTTATTCCATCGGTATACACATCACCTCTCCGTATAATATATATGTGTAAAATAACACGGTACGTAACAATATTATAATTTTTTTTTTTATCATTTTTTGTAGTAATGCCAAATTACATTCCAAAAATTCTAGCCTGGTAATATGCTTTTGAGTATAGAAGTCAATATATTTTTCAATATAATTTATTTTTTTCTGATACCGTGTTGTTGCTGGTCTTGTGTCAGTGTTCTGCATTAAAATATAAGTATCGATTTGTAATTGTCGATTTTTGGTGACAATCATTATCTGCGTTATCTAAATGGCATTCACGAACTACTATACATAATGCTATTAAATAGGCACGCCCGCCGTTACATAAGATTCCCAATATTTTTAACGGGTTTTCACTATACACGTTCGACTCGTAACAAGTTTCCACAGTTTTTCCATTTTAACTCTATTTTTGAACGAGTGCAGTTCGATTACTACCTGATTTTTACCCTAGTGCAGTTCGACTATTACCTTTTTTCAACCCAAGTGCAATTCGACCATTTCTTTGTAGGTAATAAGTGCAATTCGACTATACCGCCTGGAAGGTATTGAACTCCTGTTATCAGTCAACTCTGTAGGACAGGCACTTCTAAATAGCAGTCATTATTTATGATCCTTTCGTTGACCGTTATATATATATATTCATCTACATCGCAATATGTTGTATGGAGTATCAGAACACGAAGAATTTGTATGACATTAACAATTATACTTAGCAAATATATATATCTTTCTGTGTGTTGCGGAGTCCAACCAGTTCTTCCGAGTTACCCCGAAGACACTCGACCCCTATATGTAACCGCGAGGTTGTCTCTTCCGGGCGAGAAACCCGGACGTCTGTCCGGGAAACCTTCCCGGGGCGCCACTTCACCTCAGGCGCCATATTGAGTGACTGCCGCGGCCAGGGCCCGACGGATTATCGCCTGAGTCAAACCCCTTCTACTAAGGCGGTACTCCCACAACCACCACGAGTCCTTTCTCAAGTGTGGCTTCCCCGGTGCGGACGAGCGCGTGTCCTCGGTGAGTCCACGCGATCGCGCGCCTCGGGCCGGTCACCCCTGGAGCGTTGAGGTGCTATTAGCAAGCCAACTCGACGGGGCTTACTCCGAGTCCCGTGGTACGAGGTTCAGGCTCTCGCAACTGCCTTGTCCGAGGGCAGGTCGATCGGGGCACCGCTGTGAGTACCGCGACGACCCTCTTCTAGTGCGTACGGTTTTTGTCTTTTTCGACAGATTGCCGTTTCTGTCGGTGCCTCTTCCGTATGAATCGGCTGAATACGTGCACGTGCTTCGCCCGAAGGGTGGTTTGGCCTCTATAGTTCGAGCTCTCGGTTTAGGCAAGAATTCATTCATAAGGGAGAGAGGGCACCCAATTCGTCTCGCGAGGTATCCCGTTCCTCACTCTCGGCTAGGCTGGTCTTAGTACGGAGGGCGTTCGACGATCCTGTGAGGGCGCCGTCTTAATTCCCTTGGTCCGGCTATCGGGTCCCGCTTCGCCTGCCACTATCCGGTTCGTCGCAGGGCTTTCGCCCCGCCGCCGTCGCTGGCAGCCGACGGTCGTTCTGGCTAGGCCCACTCGGACGATTTGTGCCCGCGTGAATAGGGGAGACTGTCCCCATGTCTCTGGCAGTGCGCAGTACCCTGCACGTACGCCCTCAAGCCACACGCCTTTTCCGCTTTATTTCTAAAATTAGGGGTCCGGGTCGTGCCCACGGAATCGCCTTACGTCTTTACGTTCTAGGACTTCCCGAGAGAAGGCTTTGAACACAAGGAACATGGCCTCCGTGGAGGTCATGGTATCGCAGTCGTACGGCCAGTCCATACCGGCCGCTTGCGCGGTGGCTTCGAGCTTGTCTCTTTTCTGGCTATATACTGGGCAATCGAATAGTACATGCTCCGCGGTTTCCTCTGGGAGACCGCATCGGCAACGCGCCTCGCCTCGAAGGTTGAAATGATGGAGCGACGAATTGAAGTTCCCGTGTCCAGACACAAACTGCGAGATGTAGTGGTCCGGAACGAACCACGGCCTCTCCAATCTGTGCCGGACGTCCGGGAACCAAATCGCCGGCCGCCTACCTTTGTCACTGGCGACCCATCTCTCCTGCCAGAGGCGTATCGTAGTTTCGTAATATTGTTTCGCCTTTCCAGCAACGTCTGACGCTGACTTGTTTCCTCTCCTCACGGCGCTCTTGTCCCGTTCGATCTTAGCCAGCCGAACTAGTTCTAAGTCGAGGGGAGCTACTCCGGCTATGACCTGTAGCGCCATCGTCGACGTGGTCTTATACGCGCCCGTCATTGCCATTAACGGCGTCTTTGGGTGGTGTTTGCCCATGTTCTGTGCCGGTACTTGGGCCATGCAGCGCTCGGTCCATACCGAGGCCACATACCCCATACGCGGCAAGAACACCGATTTGTACAGGATCCTGATGCGTACCTGGAGGTGGAATGGGACGGCGGGATATTGTAGGTGACGAAATAAGAAAAAAACACTTCTTTCGTTTTAAATCGGCCTTCGCCGGTTTATTATGACGCAAAAAATGAAACTAAGTATTCTACTATCAAACTATATGTTGGTGGTGACCAATGAGCGTGATGTTACAAAGTTCATTAAAAAAGTCGCCGAATAATAACAAAATGGTCGCACGAGGTGTACCTAGTACGGGGTACGTGTAAAAACTAAAGCTCCGGTTGTCGGACCGGTTCACAGTATCGGCGGTCAAGACGTTCCGACGCCGTTATCGTGCGTCGGCGTTCCGTCATCGCTGGCGGTTGGATAGAGAAGTCGTTCCGCGGTTTTCCGCGTAAAGGCCGTTTGAATTCAAACAGATATTACGCGGGACCACGTCAATTCTTGTCGTCCTTTCTTTAAGGCCCCAGCTTGCCTTAGCCACAGATATTAGTCGACTGAATAGCGCTGCCGAGGACGTAGCCTTTTCCGCCAGATGGGAGCTAAACTTCCTTTGCGGGTCAAATGTGAACCCGAGGTATTTCGCCTCCGGGGTCGTTTTTACCTTGGTCCCACCAAGTCGCAAGTCAAGAGGCTTACTTAGTTGGCCCTTGATCCACAAGGTCTGCGACTTGGCCGCCGAGAAGGTGAGTTTTCTGTCAGTGGCTCATCTCGACGTTATTTCTAGCAGCGCGTTCGCGCGTTCCGTGAGCTCCGGACGGTGTTTCCCGTATATGAGTAGCGAAAAATCGTCCGCGTAAGCGACTATCTCTGTCCCAGGTGGGAGATCGCCGGACAAGAGCGGGTTGATCGTGTACCTCCTGAGGTCGGGCTCGAATTCTGAGCCTTGCGGGCAACCCTTGGTTAGGGTCGTCGATAGTGTCATGTCTCCAATCGCCAAGTTGGCCTTCCGGCCGTCAAGGTAACTCTTCGTCATGGTGATCAACCCAGAGCCGCATTTCACTTTTTCAAGGTCTTTTGTTAGTTGCGCCCATCAGAGGCAGTCAAACGCCCCCGATATATCCAGGAATACGCCTATGACGTATTCCTCCCGCTTTTCGCAAATTTTTACAGTGAAAAGTTTGAATATTTCTTCTGAGTGAAAAATTGCCGTTGCAATTAGAACGAGTAGTTACGACTAAATATTCATTGGTTATGGCTTCATGAAGTCTCTTTACTCGGTCTTCATCTATAAAAAATTAATGTTCAACATCTATTTGTTGCAGGTGTGGACCGCCTAAAATCTTTCCTGTGTATTCTCCCCTTACAAATATTGACATGAAACAATTAGAAAATTTAACTTTGCCACCGGTTGACTTCACCAAAGTTCCAGTCAGACCATTTCGATGGTCAGTTGCAAGCGGCGAAACGTCACTTCCAGCTGTTGAAGAATGGTTGGCAGATGTCTTTTGGTTAGTGATAAAAACCCTAGACAAAATATTACATTTTAAAGACAAGATATTTTCTTGGACCTACATTGACCACTTTGCTGAATATGGTGGATTGATTGAATTTCTACGCCGAGCCATTGTTGTTAGTGCTGAAGAAGATACGGATGGGAAAAAAACTATATTTATATTAGACTTGATGGTACCGTTAAGTGTGACCCTAGATCGCATTCCTGAAGTTAATGCCATAGGTCTCCCGATTAAACCACTGAAAGGACTTTGCTGCACTCCAGTCAAGTACACCGAGTCGGATGCATGAAATTTTGCGGAAAAGGATGAAATAATACTATGTCCTGTTTGATTGATAAACATTGAATAAATTTATAAATAATTCTATATGTTCATTAAAATGATCTAACAATGACTAGTCAACTAGTTTTAGGGCTGTTCTTTAAATATCTCGTTAAATGTCGGTTAACCCTGTGGTTTTAACGTACAGTTCTTACATATCTCGGTTTAGTTAACATTTTCCGTTAAAAGAACGTGATACCCGCATGTGTTATATCTGTCTTACAAGTGCTTAAAATAGCATATTTGACGCTCAGCAGATTACGTTTTGCTCCGTTAGTTTCACAATGCCAATAATATATATAAAAGTTATTAGAAAAATAGACAATACATGGGATTTGTAATTTTAGAATAATATAATGAAAACAAGTCTATACAAACAATAATAATTATTTATAATTATATTATAAGAGATAAACTATTTTATATATTCCATAAACACCAACGACTTGACTTGAAGATCAATAAACGGCAAGCTACACATAACACAATAAAAAAATCACAATGCCACGATTTCTTACAACAGATAAACATAATTACAAATCTCAGTTATTAATTAGTGTATATTACTGATTTTGACACTTGCCTATTTTACATAAATCAATAATTTTCATAGCACATGTTCCAGTAGTTTTGCTTGAAAATATTCCAAGACGATGACAATATAAACACTCATGGCTAGGTTTTATCTTTTTTAAATCTTGTCCCCTTTTGTTTAACAAACCACGACAAAGAACTTACCTCCTTGTTAAATTTCCATTCTTCAAACTCTAAATAATTATGAAAAATCAAAATATTGATTTAATAAAAAAGTTGGATAGTGAACATTTTCTTGTTCAATAAGAAAAATATTATTCTTAATAATATTCCTCATTTGGTCAAGTAAAGGTTTTACTTTGAAAAGTTTGCCAAAAGATTCTGGTGTATTTGTGGTGTTATCATTGAAATGAATGAATTGTTTGATCTCTTCAATCTATTGATTGTAATACTGTATATTGTTACATTACCAAGCACATCCCAATGGTGTCTTATGATAGGCAAATTTAAAATTGGCATTTTTAATAATATTCCAATGAATTTTTCAATTTATTTTTCTAATATGTTAGGTAAATTATCAGGTCTGATTTGAAAGGCATATAAACTTAATTGTTTTGTAATGTAAGATATTAAAGATTTTGGAATAACAAATTAAAAAATTGATAGGGTGTATTGTTGTATGTACGAGGGGCAAATGATAAGTAATGCACAATCGTGAATTTTTCGAAAATTAAGAGAGATAATTGAAATGAAAAAAAAAATATAAAAATACACTTCTTTAGCTAGAAATTAATACCTTTATTTTTCAATATAATCACTATTTACAGATATACACTTCTCCCAACGAGTCACAAGTTTCTTCATACCGTCACTGAAATATGTAGCTGGTCTCTCTTTTATCCAAGACTTCACTACTTCCTTGACTTCTTCGTCCGACGTGAAATGGGAGCCCTTGAGGTCTCTCTTAAAATCTGGGAAGAAGTGGAAATCATAAAGTGCCAAATCTGGTGAATATGGTGGGTGTTGAAGAACCTCGAATTTCAACTGTTTGAGAGCGGTACTGGTTGCATTTGATGTGTGAGGTCGGGCGTTATCGTGATGCAACAAAATGGTGTCAGTTGATCCACTAACGCGACACACTCGTCTCCTCAATTTTTTCAGTGACTCAATGTATCGGGCTGAGTTTACACTTGTCCCCTTTTCCAAATAATCCGTTAGATAAACTTGATTTCCATCCCAAAATACCGTAAGCATAATCTTTCCTGCAGAAGGCTGAACCTTGAACTTTTTGGATTGGGGAGAAGTGACATGACGATATTCCATACTCTGTCTTTTTTTCTTCTGTATTGTAATGATGCACCCAAGTTTTGTCACCGGTCACAATTTTTAAGAGAAACTGCTCTCCTTCTTGGTGATAACGATTCAACAATTTTTGGCTATACTCAACTCGAATTTTCTTGTTTTCTTGTGTTAATATTTTCGGTACCCAACGAGCGCAAATTTTTCGATAGCCAAGTTACTGAGTAATGAACCCGACTCTTTCTTGCGACATCCCAACAATATCAACTATGCGGTTTTGAGTTATTCGGCGATCATTTTTGATAAGCTCGTCCACTTGAATTCCATATTATTCATCCGTAACAGTTACAGGTCGTCCATCGCGATGTTTATCCAGAATATTCATTTTACCAGGGTCAGTTAATTTACATTTTGATACCCAACGAGATACTGTGCTTCGGTCTACAGTTTTATTACCGTAAACAGCTTTTAAGCGACGATAAATGTTTGTCGGATTAACATTTTCAGCGGTTAAACTTCAATCACAGCTCGTTGTTTTAATTTCGTTGACACTACGTCAGTACTAGGCTCCATTCTGACACGGACTGATTGGAAACAAATCGAGTCATGTTCAAATGGGTATTTCTCAGTTATAAACGATAACAATAGCTATATTTGGATCTAATTTTGAAGTCTTTATCTTATTACGATTGTGAGTTATTGGCGATTGTGCATTACTTATCATTTGCCTCTCGTATTGGTAAATCTAAAGAACCTCTAAATTATCTTTTATCCAATTATGCTTTGTAGGTTTATATGGAATTTTTTTTTTTTCATTGTTTTGGCACTTAAGATTTTTTTTTTTTATTATTTAAAATTTTAATTCTTATTGCTAAAAGTATCTTCAGATAGTATTTCTTCATTTGAAGGAGAAATAATAAGAAAACTATTTCTATCAACTGAATATAATTACTATTATAACTATAATATTATAACAATAAGATAAAACTAATTTAAAAAAATAAAATTCTCTTAATTTTCATATCACAATACAATTTATAGTTACTATTACATTTTCTTTTCATGAATAAAAAAATCAAGAAGTAACATTTTCCTTAGGTGAACTACCTTATAAGAATAAAAAGTAATATTATTCAGATTCTGGGTTTGTATGGTTCTTTGGGAGTCCAGGTGGGTTGTGTATGTCTGTAATTTCATCTTCAGACTCACTAATGTGAGACACTTCTATTTATAAAATATAAATTAATAAAACAGTATAGGTTATGTATAGAATTAGTTTTCATTTACCGGAGTTATAAGCATCAACATCCATAGCTTGAGGCTCAGCTAAATAATGAAATAATAATAAATAATTAAGCTCAACTGTTGTACAATTTAAGTAATATAATTACCATTCAGATTACTAGTTTCAGGAAATAAACAACGATTTATTTGAATTACTTTCATCTACATAATGTAATATGATATTAAAATATGGATAGTAAAAAAAAAAGAATTATGATTTATAATAATGTACAGATACTTACCATATGAATTAACATTGTGGGGTGACTTCCAAATAGGATCGTCGTCTGAGTCAGGATAATCTTCGAACTCAGAATCAATTAAATCACATATTTCTTGTGAATTCATTTTTAAATTAATAACCAACAGTTTAACAGTAAAAAAAACCATAATAGTTTTTTAAAAAATTTTTTTATCATCAATAATACATAAAAATGAAGGGAAAAATGTTTAAAAAAATATAAATTATTTTTTTACTTAGAAATATATGAGATTATAGTTTGTTGCCATATGGCAACACTATGCATTTAAGGTACACATTTACTTAAAATACCATTTTTTTATTTTATTCTTTGTAAAATAAGTATAACAATAAACAATAAAGGTAGGTGCCTTATATATTTAAAATCAACATAGTAGGTTGGTACATATAATACAGGTATACATAAATTATATACCTATATATATAATTATAAAAAAAAAGTAAAATAAAAAATTTGAAACTCAAATAACTAATTCTAGGTAAAACATTAAATAAATAACAATAAACTTGTCTTGGTATAAATAAAATAAAATTCAAAATTACATCTTGTAAATAAACAGAATTTAAAAATTTAGAAAGATATATACTGATTATTATATATATGTATATATATAATGATCAGCACAAACTATATTGTATGCCACTGTGTAAAGCACTCTAACCCTTTTCCACAACACAAACTAACATTACACTTTCCACATTTTGAAAATGTAAATCTTTGCAACCAGGTTTCTTGCATCTAGTTTTTTTTTTTTGACCGGTCGTTGGTCAATGGTCATATCTATCTGTCCTAATTTCTTTTGGTGGTGCCATTTCTTTTTGTTTTGTACCTAATTTTCCTTTTTTATTATACCTATAAGAATACGATCGTTATTTATGAGGTCATACTAATACATATATTATATTTACTAATTTACAAAAATAAATACCTGTTTTAATATCATTCGATGGGTGTCCTCGTTTTGGCGTTATATTTTCACCAAGTTTGCACAAACTTAAAGCAAGTTGTTCTCTGAATTTCATTAATGGCAAAGATTACTGTTGTCTGATTTTTGCTTTTGGATTCGTTTGTGTAATAGCCAAGAATTTACGATGGTGATGTCTAGTAAGTGATAAAATAACTTGCGATTTCGCTTTTAAATTTTTTGCCTTCCAAGTAAACATCCAATAAGTCGACACCTCCTATGTGAGTATTGTATACTTTTATAATATGAGGACAATCCACTTCTACTCGTTTATTTAATTTTCTATCATATCTACTAACTTTCGTAACAGGCTCAATAGCAGCAAAAGTTGACAATAAATTGACATTTTTCGTGTCTTTCCATATTATTGCAACTATATCTGTATTTCTAATATTAGTGACACAATGATCATATGTTCCTCTGAGTTTTTTTTAGCATAATTGAATCATCGAGCATAATTTTTGAGTCTATTTCTTCGTACAGTACCAAGGGAGAGTATATTTTCTTTTTTCAAATAAACTAATAGTGGTAAGGTTGTGTAATAATTATCGAAAAACAATTTATAGTTTTGACGTTTAGGTATAATTCTTGCTAGACGAACTACTACATTAGCGCTGGAACCTA